CAGATAAGTTATGAACAAACTTATCAAGTTATGGTTCATAACCAAGCAAGTTATAGACAATTATTAACAATAACTTGTCAAGTTATGGTTCATAACCAGATAAATTATGGACGAAAACAGTAATTTGACTTATTTATTAACTTATGTAAACTATTGGCCTATTAATTTTAATTCATCTCAAGTCTTAACCTATTTTTCTCTTTCTCTCGATATTTAATTGGGTCAACTTGGGCTTGCATTTCTCACAAAGTCTTCATTCTCCGCAAAGAAAGTTTACTTTTTGGTCACACAAGACCAGGTGGCCGAATATTATTTTTAATTTATTTTGCTCCATTTATTAGCATTTCTATCGGAACATAGTTGAAATCTTTTTTAAGTGGAATATAGTTGAAATCTCACCTTTAGTTTTTACTAGACAAATATAATTTATGAACGGCATAGTGGGACTAACTGATCTGAGTTTGAGATAAGCTGGAGGGAGAATATTTATGCGTTATTTCAACAAATTCATGATGGTCCAAAATTATTCTTTATTCATTTAAAATAGCAGTTAAAAAAAAGAAAAAAAGACATAAAAAAGTAGATAAAAATGAGAAAAAGAACTGAAGTAAAAGACACGAAAAATTGTTTTAACTTATTTTGTTGTGTTTTATATTAGTTATATTTTGTTTTGTTTAATTTATTTATTTTATTTTATTTGCCTGTTAAATAGAAAAAAAATCAGAACACAAATTAGTTCAAAATAAATAAATAAACATAATAGAAATAATAATAAAAAATAAAATCACAAATGATTTTGACCGTCAGATGAAGCTTATCAACGGCCTTGGTGTGCGCGTGAATAGTAAGCGCATAAAACGAGAGTGAACCAGCAAGCATGCCTCAGGTGGACGGCACTACGATTTTCAATCAACCAATTAGAACGCGACACGTGGTAATTTGTCAGCCACTTTTCATCAGCGTTTGATTCCATGCATCATGACTCACGTGAGTTCATTTTTTCCATAATACTATTCGTACATGTGGCAAATTAAGAGGATAAACCAATTATGGAATGACACACGTATTCCACACGTGTATTCCACTAAAAAAACACGTAATTAAAGCTTAACACATGACACAAAAGAAGACAATAACTTAACCAAAACTTTAAATAATTCTTTTGTATCTAAATAGATAGTAATTTATATTTAGATGAATAGTAAGTGTATTTCCTTATATACACAAATTTTGACCATCAAATATTGTTTCACTACTGGTGAACAGTTGTTGCAGTTTTGACCTTATTTTCCATTTCTCGCGCCAAGCAATTCATGAGATGTGGCATTATCTTGATCTTTATGCACATTAACATATAATACTGTATGGTCCTTCTACGATTTAAGGTCTCACATAAGAAGTGTACGATTTTTACTCACATCTAAACAATATATTGTCACGCCCCTAAACTGGGATTAGTAACGTGGAGGCTCGTTTAGAAACTTAAACCTGTTAATGAAAGTGATTAGCAATTAATGTTGCAAATAATTTAATTTTTCAAATCCAAAACATCCAGGTATTTCCAAACGAGCCCCTTTCATTCAGGAGAAATTCAATTTCAAGAACGGTGGTGGAATTTCCAACCAAACCAGTTTAAAACCACATCCCTGGTATCAAGTCAGGAATTCCCACAGGTGTTTAGCATACATGAATATAAACAAAAGTAAGTGTGACATCAACCACAGTCTAGTAATATTTAAGTTTACA